GTTCTTGCCTCCTGGAGATGAGGTTGGTGGTTTTGCCCTGCCATGCACTCCTGCTCTCCTGCCAGAACATGCTGCTTTGCTACAGGTCGAAATATTGGGCCCAAGTGATCATGAACTTGAATCTCTGAAAGTGTGAGCCAAAAGCATGTTTGACCTTTGTAAGTTGATTATCTCAGGTATTTGTTATAATGATGGAAAGCTATCACAGAGTTTCTTAAAAAACAATTTCTTTGTTAAAAGACTCAGGTAAGATAATTAGCCTTTAAATAGAGGGGACAAGTTATTAACCATTACTATCATGTGCATCATGTGAGTTATTCTCAGACACAGAGTTAGAGGGTAGTCTTGCATCCAGGGTAAATATCATTCGTGTTATTGCCAGCCCAATGGGTTATATTGTTGTAATGGCATTGAGATACAATAAGAATTTAGAAAATTAGAACCTTAATTTTCTTCTTTCTCTCCAACCACAAAGAAGTATGCATTCTTAACCTTATTATCAAGAATAGTCCTTTATGACCAGCATTAACATTATGGAATGCATAAAAACTATTCAAAGTACAATACACTAGAATAAACAAAAAGGGGCTTGATGGTATCCATCTATTGCTTAGGTATTTATCTATATTTTAATTGTTTGTAGGAGTAGGAGTAGGAATTGAACCTAGAGTTTCACACTGAGCTACCTCCCCATATCTATCTTCTGCTTTTTTGTTTTGTTTTGTTTTGAGTCAGTGCTTCCCAAAGTCACAAATTTGCCCTGCCTTGTTTTGAACTCATCATCTTTTTGCCTCAGCCTCCCAGAGTGCTGGATTACTAACATGTACCTCCATGTCTGGCCTGTTACATTTATTTTACATGGCATAAATATATACTTTGTTGATATTAAATATTGAACTATATTATGGTTTATATCTGGAATGTACACCAAAGTCGATGTGTTCAGAGGTGGAAATGCTCAGAAGGTAATTAACTAATGGAGTGTTATATTCATCCACATGTTAATCCATTGATGGGTGTGGCATTGAGAAATTCAGTCCAGTTGAGGGAGGTATTGAAGGCATGTTTTGGAGAGTATACCTCCCTCCTTGGCTTTCTTTCTTCTTCTTAGCTACCTTGAAGTACATAGCTTTCCTTCACTTTGCATTTCCACTATGCTGTTTTTGCCCTGGAGGCAAGTGATTGTGGACCAAAAAACAATGAACCAAATTAAATCCCTCCCCATCTAAGTTTTAAGTGTCAGATATTTTGTTCAGTAACAGAAAAGTGGTCTAAAACAGAAAATTGATATCACAGAAGTGAGATATTTGCTGCAGCTTACCTGACCCTATGGTTTAGAGGACGTTGGAGCTGGTTTGTGGGAAGTTTGGAAAGGTTTGGAGATGTAGGGTGAAGAAGCCCAAGAATGAAACAAAGTGAGCCCAATGGGTGATTCTGATCAGCACTCAGAAGTCTAGGGTGGCGACACTAATTTGGACAGTAAAGACCAGGCTCAGAAGGATTCAGTTGGGACCAAGGACTATTGTCATTTGGACAAAAGGCCCTGTGTGTTACACTCTGGCAGAAAATTAGTGTCCATTTTTCCCATGTCCTGAGACCAACTGATATTAAGGGCTGTGAACTAATTCATTTGCTGAAAGAAATTTTAAGGCAGCCCTGTGACATGAGACCTCCTGACTGCTTTCAGCCAGATTTACAGAAAAATCAGGCCAAAACAGAAACAAGAACAATGACCTAAAGACTTTGCAGTTTCATCAGATGGTAAGCATACGTAATATGAGGGAACAAAGAGAGTATGGTGAATGAAACAATTAGCATTAAAAAGAAGCTAAGCACTTTAGATCAGGACAATTGGAAATACGCTTTGCTGGTATCTCAGGAAATGGCCTGTTGACATCTATTTCTGGTTTAAGAGTGCACAAGATAAACTTTTAAGCTTTCCTTTGAGAAGAGATTCCCATGGTGGTCTGCTCATTCAGGGCCACATAGGGAAATATATTCCCCAGTTCAGCCATTCAGGTCCTTAGAGACCTCTGCAGCTGTGGTTTAGGGGGCCATGCAATTGCATAAGCTGTCAGTAAACCTGGACATGACTCACAATGATGGTCGTCTTGAAATCTAAGAGTATAGTTCATTCCCAGGACACCATAGTCACTGCTAGGTTCTCTGACAGCCTTAATCAAACTCTTGTCCCACCTATTCATGTAGATATTCCATTTCCATTTAAACCACTTTGTGCTGGGCTTGCACATGCTAGTCAATCAAACAGAAGTTTATACTTCTAAGGCAAAGCCCACCTGTGAGGCTGATTAGACTCTTATGAGCATCAGCAGCCAGGTAGCCTTGCTCTGACACTGTGATGGACAGATGTAGAGCTGCCTAGTGTGTTCCTACTTGTGCTCGTTCTCCTCTGCTATGGGTCCAGCACCTCTCACAATGGAAGTAGCCTCTTAGTAACTCTTCAGTCAGTCCCATTTGCTCTGCTAGATATGGGTTCTCAGACAATATGTTGTTTACTTTACTCTCATTGCTGAGAAAAAGTACCTGACACCCAAAGTTAAGGAAGGAAAGATTTATTTAGCTCACAGTTTGTGGAAGTTTCAGTTCATATTCAGCTGACTCTAAGTCAGGATGGCACATAACAGAGGCCAGTAGTTCATGGTGGCAGAAAACAGTAAAAGTATGAAGAGCAAAAGGGGAGGAGCACAAAGAAAAGCCTCTTTCTGTCCCTTATATTGTACATAGGCCACACCCACTTGGATGCAGAACCCATATCCATAATCCCAACATTGGACTATAAGTCATTCACAAACTCTAGAAGCCTGCCTCCATGATGGCATGTGGTTTTGGGGGATATCCAGATTCAAACCACAACAGCCATACTGGCAGGTGTCTTAGAGCTTCTTGTCTCCCTTTCTAGATCTCCATTTCTTTGTTTCCTGTCAGAGTCTTAGAAAATGAAAATCCCATGGTAAAGTTTTCTATGGAATTCATAGTGACTCAGCTTCCCTGTCTGAATCTGATCTCATACAACATATCTCCATTTGCATTGTAATATTGCCACCACCATTGTCATGGTGTGGGTTAAAGCTTTTTGCATAAAGACACAGCATGTTGAATGTACGAAACCACAGGCTCCATGCTGACCTTGCTGAAGTGGAATTAGCTGTTTGGATAATTCCTGGGTAATTCTTTTAAGGTCTAAGAAGTATTAATGTAGAGGATTTGGGGACTATGAGATAGGAAAAGACATAGTAAGAATTTCATACGTACACAGACATGTATAAGCATGTCTACGTCAAAGGTAGGGTCAAAACTTTCATTGTCTTTTAAAAATATTGTATTTCATTTACTTTATTGTAAATTAAAAATTTATAATTGCCTGAATTTATAAAGTGATTTATGAATATAATGTTTAAGAATTATACCTTATCCATCACCTAAAATACTTTTCACTCTGCTTGAGGAACACATTTGAAGTTCATACTCGACCATAATGGTCTATTAACAATTTATGCTGAGAAACAGGCAAAGGCAAACTTACTCCTCCTTTTTTTTTTTTTTTTTTTGTCTTTTTCATTTTTATGGGTACCAGAGATCAAACTCATGACTGCCTGCTTGCAAGGCAGGCGCTTATGCCGCTGAGCTAAACCTCCAGCCCTGAACTTAGCCTCCTAACTGAGATTCTGTATCTTTGGAGTATCATCTTCCCTCTCTACCTCCTCAGCTTCTGATGCCTACATTCTTCTCTCTGCTTTCATGAGTTTGCTTTGTAAGGCACTATTTGTCTTTATGTTCCTGGCTTATTTCACTTAGCATGTTTTCCAGTTCCATCCATGGTGCTGTAAATGATTCCCATTTCTTTAAAGGCTGAAAAGCATTCCATTGTGTAGATTTACTTCATTTTCCTTGTTCACGCCTCCACTGCTGGACATTCAGGTTAATTGTGTGTCTCAGCTGTGATGAGCAGAGCTACAACCAACAAGGCAGTGCAGACATCTCTGCAACACACAGATTTCTAAAGTTTTGGGTACATACCCAGTAGAGAATGTGGTGGACCGTACGGTCGTTCTAGCTCCAGCTTTCTGAAGACTCTTAGTGTGCTACATACACATCACTACTCCACATGCACGGCCACAGTATACAGAGCTTCCCTTCTCCCACATCTGTGTCCTTGGCCATGTGAGTACGTGTGCATGTTCATGACTCTCTCATCCTTATATCTATATGACCTGGTCACTACCTCTTGATAGTTCTCAATCTGACATTGTCTAAAATCTGAGAAAAAAGCCCAAATTTCTGGATAAGTCCAAAACACAGTATTTTACATATTTGACCCTAGTATCCTCATTTTCTGGCAAGACATATTTAAATTTTGGCAAGAGTTCATGTCAGACATAATCGATATGCATGTCCAGCTGGAGTTTAAAGATAATTTCCAGTCACTTTTCTCTTTGAAAATTCCCTTTTTCTCTGTGTTTAATTTTATGAAAAAGGAACAAAATCGTCTATGTAAAATATCAGTTTGTGTGGCTATTTGTGACTTTAAATCAAATCCAGTTTCTGTTTTATTGCTGCCACAGTAATACATTGAAGAAGTATTACATTTCTTAAGTTTTCCAAGTGTTTTTGAGATATGACCTTCCTTCTTTAACTTTTCTTAGTTTTATTTATGAGTATAAGAAGAGAAATGTACAAATTTCTTAATTTTGTTACAGATCCAAGTCAATAAAAGGATCTTGTGATTTTGTAAAAATCTTTTTCTGATTATTTCTCCAAAATAATAGACACAGATCCCCCCACCCACCCAAGACATAATAAACTGCCTTTTCATCTGCTGCAAATGTGTATAAACAAATCTGGTAAGAAGTTATGTGGCAGGGTATGATTAGATTTCTACCTGGAAAGCTTCTTTTACTTCTCCACGAGAGCCCTATATGCTAGTGAAGTTGGATCAGAAGTGAGTTCATGGAGACCTTTGGCAGAACATAGCACTTTACCTTCCCCATGGCACCTACGGTTCTCCCTGAAGGAATCGTGAGCGTGTGAGGACATCCAAACCAGTCAGGAGACTCAGACTTCTTGGAACCATACACTGCAAACAAATCCAGAAGTTATGGCTCATAAACACATGCCATTTAGATCGTATTCCCAATGCTTTCTGAAGGAGTACAGTTTGTTTCATGCCGATTGCTGTGGTATGTCCTCCAGAGATGTTCTTGTTATTTTAGTTCACTGTTGTGAGTCAAGAAGGTACCTGACCAGTGGAGGAGAAATGTTTCTGGCAAATCTCCCTAATTCTTAGGCAGAAATCACTTATCACTAAATTTACTAGTTTAAGTTTTCCAACTAATTTATGTCAGATGCAGGGAACAATGTTTCCCAAAAGTATTTAAATAGTTAAAAGTACTTAATAGTAAAAAATACACTTGACAATGTGATCCTTATTTATAGCTGAGTAGTATTCCATTATATATAGGAAGGATCACATTGAGGCTTTTATAGATAAATGGATGAGACTTGAGATCATACTCATAAGTGAAACTCACATCTGTAATACCATATTGTCACCCTTCTGTCTTCATCGGCCTAATCATGTTGTATCTTATTGGATTTTATTATGTGTGATAGTACAAACAAAAACTTTTATAGACAAGGACATAATATAGAAACAATTGTTTGTTTTTTGTTATTTGCTTCTAAATACCCTGTAATACCTTCATTCTCTTGAATGGTTTTACATTGTCTTGATATGATTGATGCTATAGTATACGAAGTTATACTCAAGCATTTCAAGGAAAGAGACACTATGGCAACTACTGTTATATCGGGTTATCTTGTGGTGAAACACTATGTTGCTTAAATTGCTGTGTTCTGACCTGTGCTGTTGTGTTGTTATGTCCTCTTTTATCTCAATCTCCTTTTTTTATTTTTTAATTAAGGGAAAAATAAATTAAAAATAGTAAGATATATTATAGTAACCATTTTGATTTCCTATTAACTTGATTTGAAGCCCTGTATTGCTCTCACCATCTTGTTTTGACTGATTTTACTCTATTCTGTTTTGCTTGATAGTATCAAGTCTGAGGGTATAGGCAACTACTTTGAAGACAATAAGATTCACTATGATGCCCATTCTGGTTTGACTATTATCTTCTTTTGAAGTCCTGTAATGTCTTCAATGTTTTTGTTTTATTGGTCTTGTTCTTTACTGTTTTGTTCAATTCTGTTGTAACTGATGATATAGGCAATTCTTTTTAATATAGCAAGAGGCATTATGGTAACCATTGTTGATCAACTTGTATTCAGTCAAATCCTTTTGATTTGACTGACTCTGTTTTGTTATGTCACATTTGGTTTTATTCTCTTCAAAAAAAAAGTAATAAGAACTGTGGGAGTAATAAAATCCAAAATGTGTAATTGTTATTGTAAAAAAGAGAGGAAAAAAAGTGCTTAAAAGAATATAACTATGTATATTTAAGTGTGCAAGACAGATAACCATATTACTGAGTTTTTGTTGGATCATTGAATAGAACTGTTTGTAGTCTCACTGTTTGAATGTCCACTTTGTATGCTTTAATTTTGTAACATGAACAACTATTTCTAAGATGACAATATGTAATCTATTAACTAGTGATTTCTTACTGTTTATTTTTTTGAAATTCTGTATTACTTAAACCCTTTTTCTGTTTTTTCTTTTTCTCTTTAAATAAAATTTTAAAAAAAGAAACTGAAAGAGTAAATAATGATGCAAAATCTTCAATACATATAATGAGGGGTAAGGAACTGCTCAAAGGGGAAAAACAACTTAGATAGGGAAACGAAGAAAGGAAAAAGAAAAAAGATAAATTTGTATACATACACAAGATAGCCAAGGTGATTGTACTACTAATTCTATTAGTTCTTAAAACAAGTCAGTTAACACTCATAGGATTAGATCAACTTTGCATGTCTATATCTGGCAATCTGAGTAACTCTTTTGACGATAACTATTCAAAATAACAACCTTTGTTAAGTTCCTACCACCTTGTTTTGAAGGCCTGTGTTGTTAATCTTTTGAGTTCTTTGCTATTGTTCATATGTCACTTTTATTTGTTTTTCTCATATTTTTGTTTTGTTTTTTTCCTCTTTAAAATTAAAAAAAGAATAAAAAGCATTACACCTACCTTTAAAAAGTACACTTGACAATGAGAGTTGAGGATGAGAGTTTCAGAGTGATGACTGCTCCCCATCCAAGGTAGGAGGCAAGGAGCCCCGGGAAGGCACTCTGTTTCCTGACTTCTCACTGGGCTGGTGCACCTGTGTACCAGGATCTGTACCCTCCCCAGTCCTCCACTTCCACACCCTGCTCTGGGTCCTTGGCCCATGAATGGCCTGTGTAATGCAAGGGCTTCTTTTAGCTTTTGAGTCATCTCTCCGGATACATTAGATGAAACTTGAGCTCCAATTGCTTGCCCCTTGGCTGCCAGGCCTGGGAGCATGGTTAGGGATGCAAACAGAGCCATAGACACTGACCCGTTTCTCTACATATTCCTAGAATGAAGCTTCTGCCTTTGCCCCGCAGATCTGGGTGGTGGTGGGTGGAGGCTTGTGGACCTGGGGTGCTCTTGCAGGGCTGGGAATTATTGGAGTGCAGGTGGATGGGGACGATGCCATGGTAAACTCGAATGTACATAGCTTTTCTCCATGACACTTTTAAGCACAGTATGTAAAGGGAATGAAGACTTTGAGTTTAAGAAACGAGGAGAAGATGACAAATCAATTGAAGACAACAAGAGTGAGGGCCTTCAAGTTGCGGTTTTGGGGTTGGTACTGCATCTGCCTATGCCCTGGAGACCTTTAGGACTGTATAATAAAATCTCATCTGAACTAGTTTACTAAGATTATCTCTTTTAAAAATTTTATGTATATTTCTATACATACATGAATTACATTTAAGGAAGTATATCTTTATTTCTGTAATAATGGAAACATGTTTCAATATACTAACAAAAAATAAAATGTATGTAGAGTGATGTCTTAGTTTGCTGGGCTGTCACAACAATGCTTTATAGAGCAGGTGGCCTAAACCACAGAGATTTATTTTCCCACAGTTCTGGGAGCTTGGGCCTAAGATCAAAGAGGCAGCAAGGGGAGTGTCTGGTGAGGACCCTCATCTGCACTTGTAGACGATGCATCCTACTGTGTCCTCACAGAGAAACAAGATCTCAAGTGTCGCTTCATAACAGGGCACTAACCCATTTGAAGGCTTCACCCTTGAGACCTTATTTAGTCTGAAAGATCTTCCAAAGGCCCCACATCCAAATACCATCTCATGAGGGGCTGACATGTGACATGTGAATTCAAGAAGAGGGCAAAATTCAGTCCACAGCAAATGTCTACATTAATTTCTTTCAGAAATTCATATCAATTAACTATAATTCAATAAAATTTTTGCCATTTTAATGAAAATTTAAAATTTCTTCCACTTAATTTTTGAAAAAATGTTTTCAATTTTTATTTAAGCAAAAAAATCCCTTTATTCTAGTGTTATTATAAATAATAGGTTAGAGGTAAAGTGGGAGATCTTGGTGCTAATTCTTTTTAATTAAATCCATGTGATCCGACTCACAGTGGACTTCTTCACTTACGGCAACATCACAAAAAAGAAATACCTATTTGAAAAAGCAGTGGTTAATGATTCCTATGGACAGAGGAGTTTGGATAAATATTACATGGTATGCAAATTTAATTTTAAAAAATTAATAGTACATCCAAAATTCTACAGTTTCTGTGTTCATTACTTCACATTGGTATAACAGATATCTGGCAAAATTAACTTAACATGACAAAGAGTAACTTAGGGTTATGGGTTCAGTCGTGGTCAATTGGCCCTATTGTTTTCAGTTCTGTGGTAGAGGGCAGCATCGTGGCAGGAGGTGTGTGGTGGAGCCGCTCAACTCATGGCAACTGGAAAGCTAAGAGAGTAGGGAATGGCCAGAGTCCCAGCATTCCTTTCAAGCACCCATCCCCTTCTGCCTTCCTAACTGCCTTCCACAAGACAGCTCCTGCCAATAGTGCCTTGGGCTGGCGACCAGACTTTTAACATATTAACTTTTGGGGTACATTTCAGATGCCTTACCAGTACTTGAGAAAATTTCTCAATGAGAATCACAATCTAGAATTGGAGAACAGTGCCAACCAGAAGATGAGCAGTGTACACAGAAAATGATAAACTTAATGATCACAAGTCTGTCTAATATTTCCTTAAATGTTTCTGCCTTCTTTCGCTCCTTACTATTGTTTGGATTTGAGTGGCTCCCAAAGGTTTAGTTTCTCAGGATGGAGCAACTGAGAGGTGGAGGAACCTTTAAGAGGCTGGGCCCAATGGGAGGCATTAGGTCATTGGCGTGCGCTCTTGAAAGGATTAAGGGACCCTCGCCTTTTCCTCTTTATCGCTTGGTTCTTGGTCATGAGGGTAGAGCCTGCTCTGCTACACATCCCATGACAATGCTCTGCTCCCCATAGGCTCAAACCATTTTGCCACAGACAAGAACCTTTAAAACCATGAGCCAAAACAAACCTTTTCTCTCTACAAGTTAATTGTTTCAGTTTTTCATAGTGATGAAATGCAATAAACACACACACCCTTCCTCTTTGTTCTAAAAACTTTAAAGTACTTCACAGACTTTGAGTCTTTGAGAATGAAGTGTAAAAATTAAGATGGCAGCATCGTGAGTACAGTACAGAACTACCCGGAGACACCAATTTGGGGATGGTTGTGCAGATGCTCAGAAGCTTTTGCAGTCTGCTGAAATCAGACTCTTGGCTCAGGGGGTTGATGGTGCAACTCGTGCCGCTTATTTTTTACTTGGAGTTGGTTTATGCAGGTAGAGCTTGACTGGCATTCAGCCTTCCACTCATTCCTAGCCTTTGGTCAGCTCAGTCTCAGGAGGCCGGGTTAGAACCACCATGGATCCTTTACCGTGAGAAGAGGAGTGGATGTGTATGCTGCGCCTCTGTCCAGATGAATCAGAGCTGTGAGCTTCTGGCTTTGGCTGCAAACCTTATATCTGAAACCATAAAATGTCAAGCATCAAAAGTAGTTTAACTTTTTCTGTCTTGGAAATTGTTGGAACATATCTCTAAACAAGTAAAAGTGCTTCTTTACTATGGTAGGATGGAAAATTTTAGGCATAAATTTAAGGCTGATTTTAATACTTATTGCATATGTAAAAGAATGTGTAGTTCCATTTTTATTCCTGTTGTCTCAGAACTGTGGCTAAAATCCAGAACTGAGGACACAAGGCACTAAGAATTCCTAAGCTACAAAAAGCTGCCGGGGCTTATGAAGTGGCGTTTGTCCCTCCCACCACCCCAGGATTCCCCACAATCCCTCATTTCTCATTGCTTTCCCAGAACTTGAGGGAGGAAGAACACTCCTAATCTGTGGCTGGAGGTTCCTCTCCATTTGCCCTTGGAAAAGGAGATAGTGATGCTTTTCCATCCGTGGAGCCAAGTGAGTCAGCCTCCATAAAACCCTCATGCATATTAGAGGTGTCTTGGAAAGAGAAGTTTGGTACTCTGTCCTTCTAAATATTTACTTAGCTGCAGAACCTAGAAACATAATGTGCTGCTAAATGTATGACATGCTTCTCTTTTTGGTTTTTCTTCTCTTCCATGGGGAAAATGTTCAATTGTGGTTCTGGGTGTTCGAAGGTATGTTTGCGATAAAGCTACAGAAGAGAAGTTGCTAGGTTGATGGGTTCTTGGAGACGGAGACGATTTCAGACACACAGAGGAACTGCATGGACACTCACATGCACTCCCCTCTGTGGAGGCTGCTCCATTGGGTCACTACAGCAGAGGGAGTCCGCCCAGGCTAGAGGCAGACCAGGGACACATCGCCTATGGAAACAGTTATGTAAGGTTGAGTTTTTGCCTTGCCCTTATTCTCATGTTGTCCCTGGATTCAGAGTGGCAAATGTCCATAAAAAGAAAGACAGAAGGTATTTCAGAGACAAATCGCATCTCTTTCCACACTGAATCTTGTGTAGGTTGGTGGAGGAGATTAGGAGTTCTCAGTCATCTCTCTCTCTCTCTCTCTCTCTCATCCTCTCTCTCTCTCTCTCTCTCCCTCTCTCTCTCTCTCTCTCTCTCTCTCTCTTTCCTTCCCTCCCTCTGTAAAAGTGTATAGCACTTTCTAAGTCTTGATTATTGTGGAAATTTTTTTTTCTAATAATTGAAAATGTCTGTGGAGTCACCCTAGGACATTGTTAAGATATTTGTCACTCAGCTGAAGAAGCAAATTTGATCTAGTACAGCTGGTAGATAGAATTGGAAGACAAAGTCATTTTGAAATTAAATTTCAACAAGTTGTGACTCCTCAACTGGAGGTAGATTTATAAGTTTTTTCTCCCAGAAAGTGTTCTCATCATTTTCCTGATGGGCATGGTTGCCGTTGCTTCTCATGTTATTCAGAATATGACTATGAAGTAGAACTTTCTGTGGTGAAGAAGATGTCCCAGATCTGTAAAGGTCAATAGAGTGTTGTTATAGATTGTATCTGGAATATTCCCCAAAGTCCCATGTGTTAAAGGCTTGGTTTCCAGCCTGTGGAGTTGTTAGAAGATGATAGAAACCTTTCAGCAGTCAGTTGAAAGTCTTCTAGTCACGTGTGAGTTGTCCTCAAAGCTCATATTGAAACTCTGAACCCTTCTCTTTCTCTCACTTCTCAGCTGCTGTGAGATGGACAGCTTGTCCCACCATGCACCCCTGCCATGGCGCACTATGATGTACTGCCTCACCATGGACCTAAAAGTATTGATCTAAGAGACCATAGACTTTCTTCTTTTTAAATTAATTATTACAGGCATTTGCTATAGTGACAGAAATCTAACTAAAGTATCTACTAGATACATGTGAACACTTAAAAATTTGTCTAATAAAACTGAGGAGCTGAATTTTTTATTTAAATAAGTTTATTTAGATTGCAATACTGTCCTGTGGCTAGTGACAATGATACTGAACACTGCTGGCTTAGACTCTTGGAAAATGACCTCGATAGAAGCAAAATGTGAAGGTGAAGGAAAGTTCCACATCAACAGGTGTTTTCTTTTTTTGTGAATTAACTTGATTTTTAAAAAGGACAGCATAGAAGCAAAGGAGCTTGGATAGGTCCTATTTTAATCCAATTGAAACTAAAATGGTTCATATTAAAATAAATGGTTAATATTAAAAATAAAAGTCTATTTTAAGAAAAAAAAAGACTTGAATTCAACTCTGAAAAAAAACAAGCCATAAAACATCAT